GGGCTGGGCTGGGCTGGGCTGGGCTGGGCTTAGCTTAGCCGGGCTGGGCTGGGCACGGCTCGGTGCGGCGCGACCGGAGCGCCATGAACCGCTTCAAGGCGTCCAAGTTCCGGCACACCGAGGCCCGGCTGCCCCGCAGGGAGGTGAGCGCCGTAGGACCGGCCGGTACCGTGCGGGCGGGGGCGGCGGGGCCGGGGCTGCCGGCGGGCACGGGCACGGACAGGGACAGGGCAGGACCGGCCCCGCGGTACCGGCAGGGCGCGGCTCAAGCTCCCTTGGCTGCGGCACCGCCGGTGCGGCAGGGCCGTGCCCGGGTCCCCCGGCCGCGCTCAGAGTGCGTCGCCCGGGCGGCCCTTCCTTGGCACACCTTGGCGCCGGAGGCTGCCGGCCCCGGGGCGCTCCGCAGGTGGGTGTGGTGGGGAGCCCCAGCTCTGTCCCGGGGCGGTGCAGTCCCCCCGGCCGGGAGCTGCTGGCGTGGGGTACCTGTCCCGCGGTACTGCACCCTCCTGCCGCTGGACACGGGTGGCCACAGGCAGTTCATCCCCGGTTCCTGCTGCCCGCCACCCCAGCTCGGCTCGGTGCTTCACCTGTGCTCGGTCGGCCCTCTCGGGCAGCGCGGGCTTACCCAGCCGGGAGCCATGCATCCCGAGCGTGAAATGCTGGGCCCCGCTCCTGCCACCCCGCTCCTGCCACCCCGCTCCTGCTGCCCCACTTCCGCAGGCAAAGAGGAAGCGCTGGGCCCCACGGGATGGTGCTGAGCTCCCTCACCCTGCCCGTGAGCTGCACAGCTCGGCACTGCTGAGGCCAGGCAGGTCCGGGGGGTCTCGCTGGGCAACATGTGGTGCCCAGCTCCAGTCTCAGCCCCAATCGTGCCAAGTGTCATGATCCACCTCTTCGCGTGGTGTTGGCAGTAGGTAATCCTGCTGTGCTCTCCACAAGGCTGTGGAGCTTGGCCAGGGCGTTTCCTTGGATCCCTGTCCCTGCAGGTCTGGCAGAGATGTGGGGTCAGGGGTGGGTTATGCCAGATGAACTTTGTTGGGGACTGTTATCAGGACACAGCCCTTCTGGGGGCTTCCTGAGCTGGGAACTCCCAGCATCTCCTCAGCACTGTGACCATTTGTGAGGCTGGTGCTCCTCCCAACCCTTGGATGTCAGTGCACTCCTTCCCTGTAACTTCCCAAGCCATCCTTGTACCTGTGCTCACACAACTCTGCAGACCTGGTAAGCACCCAAAACATCCTTCTGAGCTTCAGCTGTAGGAGGAGACGTAGTGGCCCCTGCCACTGTCCCAGCCTTGAGCATCCCCCCCTCCCCATGACGTGCCAGCCTTGGTGTGTCTGCAGAACAGGTGCCAGGTCATCAAAATCTCAGCTGGACAAATGTTTGCGACCCTCAGGGTTCAGATGAGCCCCTGGCAGGGCAGAGCTTGTGTGCCTGGGGGGAGTGGGTGCTGGGACACTTGGCTGTGTGGACACAGCATCTTCCAGGCAGGGACGTCCCCATCACCACTGCCCTGGGGTCGATTCCCACAGTGGGGTTGTTCTGAGGGACAGTGGGCTCTTGCCCCTGTGTGCAAGGAGGCATCCACTGTGCAAGGTGGCCTTTCCAAAAGGCCACACAGCATGAAACATATCCCTGGGAATCAAGGCCACACCACCCAGCTCTGCGGGGCAGGAGGTGGGAGGTGGATGTCTCGTCTCAAAACCCATCTCAGGTGTCACGGCGGGAAACACTGTTGGGTCCCTGGCTGAGCGGGTTGTTTGTGGAGGCTCAGGCAGACACCTGACCTGGCCGGATCAGGAAGCGCAGTGTAAACATGAGGGATCACATCTGAGTCTCTTCAGGCAGCGTCTGCGGGGCTCTGCTGGCAAATGCCCCCTGAGAGCTCACAGTTTGTTCTAGGGATGTAGCCAGGATGGTTCCATATGCTTTCCCGGCTGTGCTGGCACACTGAGGGAAGGATCACTTCCTTGAGGGCTCCTGCCTGTGCACAGGGAAGTTGTGGGGCCAGGATGGACCAGCTCAGTGGTCCCTCTGCGAAACCTCAGCACAGGGGTCCTGTGTGGGACCCCTGGAAGCTGGGGACCAGAGGTGGCTGGTGTCCCCCCTCAAGGGACCAGTGCAGAGTTATGGGATGCAGTTTGTAGGACCCTTCCTCCTGGGTCTTGCTCATGCTCCAGACCTGTTCCCCATCCCTACTGCAGCCCCCTGCCCACCCACCAGGTTCAGGCAGAGGAACCTCCCTTTGGCAGGTAAGGGGTTAAGAGGTCTGTACCAAGCTGTGAGGGCTGGAGGAAGTGCTGCAGGAACTGCTGCTCCCTGTCAGGCCTCAAAAGGAAGCTGTGCAAGGAGAGGAAACCCGGGGCTCATGTACACAGCTCCCTCCCCTTCGAGGGTGTTTGCCTGGTTTTGTGGGGTGTCCACTGCTCCAGACACCTGCTGCAGCTCTCTGTGATGCCAGTGGCTGCCATGGGCACACAGTCATGGTGGCACCCGTGAAACACCTGCCATTACCATTGCTCAAGGGTTGGACTTGGCTCTGGGTGTGCCAGGAAGCTCCTGGTCCTGGTGGCCACTTGAGGTCGGATATCTGAGCAGGTCTGGCTGATGCAGGGTGTCTCAGTGCCCCACGGGTACAGTGCTCAGCTGTGGAGTAGTAGTGGGATGTTTCCCACTACTGCACAGTGGGATTTTGGATTTGGAGCTGTCATGAAGTTCCTTGGCTGCGTGTCCCTGTGAGAAGCTTGCTGCCTCAGTCAGCCACAGCCTGACCCTGTGGTGCTTCACAGCCCAAGGACTTTTGTCCCATCCCAGACTCCCTGACCTAAGTTTTTATCACAAAGTCCTCTGAGCCTTTCCCTCAGTGGCAGAGCCCAGGGCTGGGACAGTTCTGGGGAGAGGCAGTGCTGGGAGCCAGGATGCTCCTGCCTGCCATCCTCCAACCCAGCGAGGGACTGCACCTCATGCTGGGAGCAGGAGCAGCCACATTGCCCTGGCCATCCCAGAGAACAGGGCCCTACAAATGTCCTCTGGCACAATCCCATTGGTATTGGCAGCCTCCAGGTCTCCATCGGCGTGGGAGCTCCGCCGGGGCTGAGGGTCTCTAGCCATGCAGTGCCAATGTCTCCCCTCCAGCTGTGCTCTGGCCATGGCATCAGGCCCCACCATAACAGAGGCAGCTCCTGATATGGGTTTTCCCTCTCCATCCTAGGCATGGATCGGGGGTATCCGAGCAGGCTCCATCACATCCTGTGGGAACCATGTGAAGTCCAGCTGCCGCTGGATCGCATTCAATGCTGAGGCAGCAGGTGAGGCACGAGGGGTCCCCTGCACAGCTCGAGGGTGGGATGGACTTGTCCCAGTTGTCCCTGTGGGACTGGGTGGGGGGTCAGCCCCACGGACACCAGAGACACGAGGGTGAGGGGAGGAGGCTTTCCCTGAGATCCTCGAAAGTGCTGCAAGTCCCACACCTCTTGGCTTGCATTTCAAAACTGGATGCCCCCCAATGTATTCCAGGCTGGGGGATTCCTGGGAGCATCCCATAGGCAATGGTCAGGCTGGTGACCTGCTCCTGTGCCCTCTTCTGTAGGTGTGTTGGGCATCGTGCCGCTGGAGTGCGAGGATGGGGGCAAGAGGACCGTGTCCCAGCTCTGCTGCCACTCAGGTGGGTGTCAGGTCCCACCTCCACAGGAGATGTTTGGCCTCATGTGGGCTGTACCAAGGGGCTCTGGTGCTGAGTCCCAGCCCTGGAGGCTGTGGTGGGCTGCGGGCCAGGCAAGGGGCATGGGGAGCTGCTGGATTCCCGGAGAACCATCACCCATGGGCAGGGTGACCCTCACGAGGCTCATAAGGCACAAGGCACCTGCAGCTATGCTGACCACAAGAGACTCTGCCAGGCTGGAGCCAAATCGATCCGTGTTCCCTCATCTCTCAAGCTGCAACAAAGCCTGGACATGTAGCTCTTCCTCATGCTCTACTACGCACTCTTTCCACATTACTCATTGCACGCCCTGGAAATTCCCAGTACACCCAGTGCCAGGCTGGGGATGGCATCACCACGGCTGTACCTGGCTGCAGTGGCGGGAGGAACAGGCTGGACCAGCAGCTCTGATGTGGACAGAGCAAGTGCTGCAGGGGAGAGGCACTGGCAGCATCACTGTTGGCAGAGGAACAGAGCTCTGCCTCCTACCCGGGCACGGGGAGGGTTTGTGGGGATCTCAGGTTGCCCCGCTCCTGGTTGTCGGAGCAGCAGTGCCAGCCTGGGGCGTGCTGACCACCCACTTCCCAAAATTACACCAGAGCAGCAAGATGGGACCCAGTCCCAGCGCCGCCTTCCTGTGTGCGTGCCCTGGCATGGCTGCAGGACTGCGCAGCGTGCCCTGCCTGTGCCACCTCGGCCTCTGGCACCGGGAGCTTCCTTGTGTTGGCAAACCGGTCACTGAGCTCTGCTGCTTCCCAGGGAGTGCCAGAGGGGTGCATGGGAGCCAGCCCAACATCCATGGCTTCTTAATGGGATTAGCACGAGCCCTTTGAAGCCGTGCTGTGCCAGAGCAGTGCCTCTGTAGCAGGGAAGGGATTTTCTCTCCTCCCAGGCGGATGCAGCAGAGCGAGCTGCCTGCTCTTCGTGCCTCTGGGGCCTGTCTCCTGGAAGCAGGAAAGTACACAGTGACCTACTTTTCCGAGCGTGCCAAATGCATCCGAGGGGCTGCTGCTGATGGTGCCAGCGTTCCTCCCGCTGGGCCCTGCTGCCAGAGCTGCGAGGAGCGTCCCTGCTGCTGGCATCCTGAGCCAGGGTGTTACAAAGGGAGCCTTGTTACCAGCATGGCTCCAGCAGGCCATGGTCTCCAGCATCTGGTCAGCACAGCCAGCCTTGTGCTGTCTGTGCTGCTCCCTGTGCCTCAGGGGGATGTTCATCTGGACATCGTAGCCACACATGGGTGGTGATGGGTTAGACAGTTGCCTTCAGGGCCCCCATCCCCTGCCAAAGGGGTGCAAGACCTGATGGGCAGTGTGGAGGGGCTCAGGCGCTCACAGCAAAGCTGAGCTGCTCCAAAACGCCTCAGTGGGTCTGGATCTGCCCCTGGT